TAAAAGTAGCCAAGTAGTTGACTACTTTTCAAACAGCAAATCGCTATTCGCTACTGTTAAAAATTGTTAACAACTTGATAGAATAGCATGATATTGAGATACGGTTTGCTTAAAATCGATACTCAATAGTCAATTTGCACTCCTGAGCACTGTAGTGATTACAAAAATGTTGCTTTGTGTTTACTGTTGCTACTCGTAAGTCTATTTGTTATAGGTTACATTACAGTCTGAGTTAGTATAGATGCTCCAAATACAGTAAAACTAAAAAATATAGCGTAGGCGTAGCGAAATAGTTCGCTACATTTTTTAAGCAGTAGCTATAGTCAGTATAGCTTTGTGCAAAAGTAGCAGTAGTTGTAGCTGACTACATATTTTTGAAGTAGCTGTAGTTATAGCGAACTACAAAAATTTTGTGGTCAACCCACCCATGATTTTTGCAAGTAAACATTTGTTTTGTCTTTATGATTAGTAATTAAACTTGGATCTAACCAACATGCAAACTGAGATCCAAATTTACTATAATCATAAAGACAAAACAAATGTAACCGAAAAACATAACGCTATTTACATGTTTACTTGCAAAAATTGCCCCGACAAGTACATATAGCATCTGTTGTCCTGCTCACCATTAGCAACTGTGGACAGTTATAACTGCATGTGGACGATGCAGGGCGACCTAATGTAATTTTAAATAACATAACGCAACGCAACCTCAAACCCTTATTAAATTAGGTCTAAGACATAAACTAGGCGCGCTAACTTTACATGCCGTAGCACGACATGGTGATATAACATGATTAGATCAAACTAAGGGGCCATTCACAAAGAATGTCGAGCCGAGGGGGAGGGAGGGGGATTTGGAAAATCAGGACAAACTCGGACATGGGGGGGGGGATCAGCAATCCGGATGTCCGAAATTTAAAAAAATTCAAAAACAAATTTCTTTTTCCTCTATTTTGAACTCTTGGCATTTTGAACATTTTATAATATTATCTAATTCTTTCCTTCAATACATTTATAGTTATAAAAAAGTTCTAAAAGTAAACTTGACATATACAAGGTTGCGTGAGTTTTAGCGAGGTATGGTGGATGTCCGGGGGGGGGTCACTAATTCGGACAATGCCGGACAAGGGGCGGAGAGGGGGGGGTCTGAAAATCCATCATTTGGCCGGACATCCTTTGTGAATGGCCCCTAACACAACAGAGCCAGAGAGCTTAAGTGTCTATATATAAAATATATTATAAATCAAATTCAAATTGTCCTATAAAAGAATAGCATTTGTACTACGTGACAATGTGTTTTTTTACAGTATTTCACTCAAATTCATGATTTCGCAATGCAGCGTGAGATCCACTGTGGTGGATATTATAGTATCTCACGCTCACACACGACGAAAGGATACCATGCACGCTCTTAAAGAACATGGCATTCGCGAGCTGTTGTTTGTAATTTCGTACAGGCGCGTACATGCAGATTTATTAGACAGATTTCAGATCGAGGACGTGGACGTCAAAGACGACGTGAAAATGACGTGTTAATTGTGCCCATGTATGGATATGCCACGCCATATTGACGCCATTTTCACGTCGTCTTTGACGTTCGCGTCCTCGATCTAAATCTGTCTATTGATTTACTGTAACCAAAAATTTTTAAGACGTACGTTACCTTCAATAATAGAATAATCCAAAGAATACATGCTCAAATATTTTAAAGAGAAAACGTCAAAACACAGGTATACATAAAGAGTTAAAAATTGTATTCGCCTTATAGTTAATATTCAGCAAGTTTTAAAGTTTATTCTGAACTTATTATAGTGGTGTCTTTTACCTTTGGTATAATATATCATTTATAGACCCTTGGGGGATTCGTCGAAGCATTACCCTCAGTGATGATATTTCAAATATTAAATAAATATCATCACTTCGGGTAATATTTCGCCGAATCCCTCTCGCTTCGGGTCTATAAATGATAAATAAACTATATGCTAAAGAAAACCTTAACAATTTAAAATAATAGATAATCAGTCTGTAAGCGTCAGTGCATAGTTTTAAATGTTTCTTTATTGGATTCCAATAAAATCGCCAAGTTTTAATTAATTAACGTTACAAATAAACATTGTACGCGTTTTCCATGTACGCGTTTTCCATGTACGCGTTTTCCATGTACGCGTTTTCCATGTACGCGTTTTCCATGTACGCGTTTTCCATGTACGCGTTTTCCATGTACGCGTTTTCCATGTACGCGTGTACGTGTACGCGTGTACGTGCACGCGTTTTCCAGACAACCTTTATTTTCCCCTTCAGTTTAGATTAGCAATTATGATAAACTCGCATTAATACAACTTATTGTATTTTTGTTGGTACCTTTCCACATTTTCTTTACTTCCTCGTCGTTTAAGGTTAATGTATTACTGGCAGTATCGTGACTTCCGATTTGAACAAGTTGAGCTTAAAACAAAAACAAAAACAATCGTTACCCTGTTAGCCGTTTTTATAATATGCATTCAAATATGATAATCTGTCAGACGTTTTGTGTGCCTGGAACCACAGAAATTATTGGACTGAATTGCGCCAGCAAAATGTCGATCTACATGAAAAATACGGCCGGGCCTCACAGTGCACATTATAGACCATTCTGTACTGACAAAATGTCGAATGATAGAGATGTAAATACCTGAAAAATACAAGCTTCACGATGAAGGGCCTTCGCTCGAAACATCGAATTTCTCCTTGTATCAGTGGCGTAGCCAAGGGGGGGGGGAGGGGAGGCGACCGCCCCCCCAATCGAAAAAAAACACATTCTCTGAAAAAGGCTAAATCCGTAGAGAAATTGGGGGGGGGGGGGTACACGTTACATCCTCCTCGAAGCTGAAACTGATTAAGTACATCTCGACTGAGGAAAACGACGATATACTGGAGGAACTTGATTTGTAAAATCTCGTTAAAGCAGTTGTAGATACGGTTCCAAGAAGAATAGATTTGTATGCATTACATGTATGCATTTAATATATCATAGCATGAATATTCTTCTCAGACTTATTCTGTATCGTATAAAAAAGCAACGCAATTTTGAGAATGCGGAAATGCTGTCTTATAGAACCAAGAATGATTTAAATGAAACATTTCTGATCAAAATCAGTCACATTGGGATTTTCTTCCCCCATCATCACGGGAAATAAGGTGACGTTGACCGGCTCCTCCTGTTATTCAAGGTGACTTTTCCAATTTATTTAATTCCGAGTAGAAAATTAGAAATGTTTGGGAAAATTCATGTCTTCGATGTACTTATAATGTTCGGAATTCTGCAAGATTTCACCCCAAAATGCTTGAAATCGCATTTCAGGGACTCTAGATTTCAAAATATTTCCGGGAGTGCATGCCCCCCGACCCCCTAGATGGTCTCGCGCCTTCGACGTTCGCTTCGCCCCCCCCAAAAAAAAAAATGAAGGTCTGGCTACGCCACTGCCTTGTATAGCAACGTTTTGTTATTACAGGCACTATCTACACTGGTACAGACCGTTCAATATTCTGTACTGACTTCTATAAGATGGGATGTTGAAAATGTGAGAGAATATAGTATACAAGACATGCTACATGCAGCTTTTTCAACGAAGTTGAGCCTTTTATTAATGATATAACAAAGGACCCAATTCATGTGAAAATGAAAATGGTTAGTGGTTTCCAGCTATAGTGATGCTAATAGTGATGGGTGTCAAATCTGAATCTCGCAAAAAATTTTACGGTAGTGTAGTATTTATTCTTGTATGCTTTGTACTGTTTAATAAACGAGCAGGAGTGTTTTATTAGGTTTAAAGCCACTGCACATGACATATCACGGTTGACATGATTTGCCAATAAGCTTATGAATTATTAATGAGTGTTCAGTTGAAATATAGTGTAAAGGCCTGTAAAATTAGTATTACGGTGTCCTGTTTGTAGTCCGTAATATGTCGTGTTTTATAGTGTTAGATGGATGGACTTAGTATGCGATTCTAGTTCTGTTGTCCAATCCTTCAATCATAGCTGTATGTGTATTTTTTTATATATATAATATGATTATAAAGTTAATAAAAAGAAGAAATCTTGCTACACTACCTGAGCAAGAAAAGGGCCTACAGCTATTCAACAGTTATGTAGTTAAAAATATATCCTAAAAAAGTCGGAACATACAGCAAATCAATTAACTTGAGTCCTTTTGTTCCACACAAAAGTTCAATTGACAACGTCACGTTTATCACTCACCAATGCCATTTTGCACCCTCATTTGACTGATCGTAACAGTTCCAATCCTTTCACGATTAAAGAAGTTATGTGGACCCTAAAAGTTCAGAAAATGGACAGATTTACTCGACGAGTGAAGAACCTAAAATACTAGGTACGCCTTCAATCAAGCTCGTAACTACTTTTCATGAATTTTTTTTATTAGTGAGCGTAAAGTTTTGCATCGCGGCAGTTTGTTGACAAGGTAAGATGCCAAAGCCTGAAACGTGGCAGACATGCTTAACGTACGAAATATCTTTATAAATCGATATGAAACGTACTTGGGCGAACATTCCTTAACAATAAATATATATGCAATAAGGTCCAGTATAATCTGCTCTTGCAAGACAGTTCATAGCACACCACGTGGCGTGATTGTTTGGCAAATATTTACAGAACTTGCCAAAATTTAGCAGGGGGAGGATTATAAGTTTTCGAGCCTTTGAAAAGGACGTGTCATGAAAAAATAGACAGAGAGGAGGGAGGGATGTGCACCTCCAAGAATTTTTGCACCACCATATATATATAGAACTTTTCTAGCGGTCCCCCTAGAGAAATTTACGTAGAATAGAATGCGTATAAAATTCCATTTGGAAGACACTACATATAGATATTCACAAATTCTAGATGTGGGCTTTGCCCTCTGCCCCTCTCCACAATCTTCTGAACTGTTGTAGCTGGTGAAAAGTTGAAATCGGGGAAAAAGTAGAAGGGGGGCTACAATGTCTGGAATGACGGCAAAATCTGTTTTTGAAGGGGTTATAGTTTTTCTTCAAAACTAGAGCCCTATAGGGTAGGGTCACAAAGTTTTCAACTCATACATATGAAGGGTCGTATTATACTAATGGTTGTAAATACCAGTCCCTCCCCCTGCTAATTTCTAGCAGAATATCTGGAATTTGTGTATGATTAATTTTTTATATAGTTAATTTAATCTGCGTTGGTTTTAATGTTTTTACAGTATAACTTACAGACAATCCTTCAAACTCTTGTTCCTCCAGCAAGTCTTTATACTCATCAGAAAAAAACTGGTCACTTGATAATACGAAGTCCTCTGGACGAGTTTCGTTTGAAGTCGCATTTAACATCAATGCTGCAGCCCAGATGCTGTCGAATGCGTAACTCGTGCTAGCTAATGCTTGGTTATTTCTTTTGCGAACTTCAGCCAAATATGCGCTAGCATTCTGAAATACAAGAAAAATAATTAATACAATCTGAATATATTTCGCCGTAATTCTCATTAATACTTCTCCGGCGAACTTTGTTGGTCCTTATATTAATATCCTGTATTATTTCTTGCAGCAATAAGACAATTGGTTGGTTTATTGGCGTACGAGGCGGCTTGGGAGAAGCTACTCCGCCCCCTCCCCAAATGTACAAATTAAAATTTTCCGGTCAGCATATACCTCAGATCCTCCCAGCTATTCTGGCATCTAATACAGCTTGACCTAATTCCTGGACACTTTGTCACAGTCTGCCTCTGCGATGACCCCAGCATGTAATATTTCAAATCTGACTATGATGATTACATGTAGACTTCAAGTCCGCGCAATTTGATCCAGTCCGAGGCAAAGCCGAGGACTGGATCAATCATTAGCAATCATTAGCAATCATTAGACCGCATTAGCAAAGCCGAGGCAAAGCCGAGGACTGGATCAAAATTAGGCTCAGATTCCAGCCGTTGTGTTCTCGCCACTCGCTCACTTAACGGCTGGGTCAATGAGCTTCGGCATTGTTCTGATTGACCAATCACATTACAGCCCCCCAAAATTTGGGGGGCATAAATTTGTATTAATAAT